TGCGCCCAAAATATATTTTTATAGGATTGTTTAGTTGTATTCCTAAATCTTCTAACACACCTCTTATAGGTAGTACCTTCTCAACACAATCAGCTAAGGCATAATACTCAGCATGAGTTGAAGCTCTTGATACCATCTTTTGTTTTTAAGATTTCCAAAAAATTACATTTCCAAAAACTCTAATAATTATTCCTGTAGTTGATTTTCGATCAATAGTATCAGAAGCCCAATCAGCATCAACATATGCATCAATTATATTATTAGCATTTGAACAATAAACCAATTTTATAAATCTAGTGCAGTATAAATATTTTAAAACTCTTAAAGCATATTTGAAATGGGTATTACAGTAACTATTTTGATAACGACTTAGATAATTTACAGAGTAAGATATATCGGGACGAGAGCCATTTGCTATATACAATAGGGAACCTATTAAATTTCTATATTTTAATTCTGCTTGTACGTCTTCTGCACATTCCAATTTTAAATTCATTTCCATTGGTGTATAAAAGTTTTTAGAATCTTTGATATTATATTTTTCAGTTAAATTCTCTATATAATTTTGTTGACTTAAAAACATGGTGTTTTGTTCTGCAAAGTATTCAATTTGTATACCAAGATATTGTTTTATTTGACCTAAGTCTTTCATTTTAAATCTTTGAATCAAAGCTAATTTAATTTTTTGAATAGATACTTTATCCCTGCCAAAAATTAATAAATCAGCAACATATAAAATTATGTAAATAATATTTCCTTCAACATTCCCTATGTATAAACAATAATTATAATTAGACCGTCTAAAGTTTAAGTCTAATTAAAATTATGAAAACATTCATACCAGTCACGTGGACTTTCTCTTAACCCATATAAAGATTTTTGTAACAAGCATACTCTATTAGGTTCAATTTTATATTCATTTGGTGGGTAAATGAATACTTCCGATTTAATTTTTCCATTTAAGAAGGCAGTTTGAACATCCATTTGTTCAATATTCCAACTTTTATTACAAGCAACAGATCATAAGACTTTTAAAGTATTCATTCTTGCTACGGGCGAATAAATTTCTTCATTTTCTTGGTATGACTGTTGAAATCCCTTAGCGACAACACGAGCCTTGTATTTACCATCTGTTTTAATTTTATAAATCCATTTGACTTCAATAATGTTTTTATCTACAGGCTTATCGACTGTCACCCATGTTTCATTTTCTTCTAGGCTACTGAGTTCTTCATTCATTGCAATTTTCCATTTAGCTGAATCAATAGATTCTATAGCTTCTTCATAACTCTCAGGTATATTTGCGTTAGTATAGTTTACATAGACTACATGATCATCATATTTTTTAGGTAATTTTATTTGTCTTGCTTGTCTTGTTTTGGTCTCTTCGGGTTCATCATCTTCATTTTCATCTTCACGTTGATCATTTCCTTTGTTGATATATTCCTTTTCAGGTATTTCTTCTTTTTGATTATCTTCTATCTTCTCATCACTGTCTTCTTCTTCTTCTAACTTTATATATTTTGTGCATTTTTCAATAAACTGTACATTACGACTAATAACTGTATCGTCGATCAAGATTTTGTAACCTGTATCAGTGTACCCTATTAAAATACATTTTAATGCTTTCGGGTTTAATTTTGATGATCTACGTTCCTCAGGAATTCTTACATATGCAATACTACCATATAAATGTAAATTTGACACATTAGGTTTTTTATTAAAGAAAATTTCATAAGGAGTTTTACTAAATTTTATGTTTGCAAGTAAACGATTACCTATATATGCAGTCGTATAGATATATTCAGGCCAGTAACACTTATCAATTTTAGATTCCGCTAACAAACATCTAGCTCTATTCATAATGGTCCTGTTGTACCTTTCTGCTACACCGTTCAATTCATGAGTATATGGTGGTCCAGGCTTCAAATAAATTCCTTCTTCTGAAGCGAACCTATAAAAATCTTTATTCAAATATTATTTTCCGTTATCACACCGAATTTCCTTTATTTTCTTTCCTGTCTGATTTTGCATTAATTTAGTATATTTAACAAAACTCTCAAAAACTTCACTTTTTTGTTTTATACAATAAACAATAGCAATTTTACTGAAATCATCTATAAATGACACAAAATATTTTTCACCTTTATACCCTAATTGACTTATTGGTCCATGAACATCTGTGTGGACTATCTCTAATACATCATTTTCCCTACTCCTATTATTTTGAAATTTTAGATTTGACATTTTATTTTGAATACATATTTCACATTTTAAGGGTTCACATTCAGTTAATTTTGGTAAACCTTCCAGTAAATTTAAATTATACAAACTTTTCAAGTCATAAAAATTGACATGCCCCAGTATACGATGCCATTTTTCTTTATTTGACATTTCTTGAGTAGAAATATAAATCATTATTTGGGTCTGAAAATTTTCCGAGCAATTTAAATAGTTTATTTTCGAAATTAGCGACTGCAATTAATTCTTCTTTACAATTATAAATATTAGCACTTTTATTTTTAAACAATATAGAATTATTCTGACTTATAATTGATGAAACGCTTAACAAATTTTGTTTCATGTTTGGAACATAGTAAACATTTTTAATTTTGGTTTTGATAAGATTACCTTCAACTTCAAATTGTATATTAATATCCCCTATTAACTCAGCCTTGAGAGAAAAACCGTCACCTACCTTAATAGTTACAGGAATTTCTAATTTCTTACTCTTATAGAAATATTATATCCGTTAAAATTAAATTTAATAACCCCCTTTAGGTAAGGATTTTTTTGGCATACCTCAAGTACTCTTTACAAAAGAGGATTAAAATATATTCAAAAATACACACATACCATTTTGCCTACTTTTTTAAATTTAAGGTGGCAGCCAATTTGCTTTTAAAACTTCTGACATCTCGATTTAATAATCTTCTTTTGTGGGCCATCTTTCTTGAAATTAATATTATTTTTTAGGGATTATGGAAATCTAACGAATGAACAGAGAAACTATAATTTTAAGTTTTGTGCTACACGTGTCCGCATTGAAAATTCATTTGGAATTCTGAAGGCTAGATTTAGACAGCTAATGAAGTTAGAAAATCACACAGTGCTTAGAATGGCACACATCATATCATGCTGTGTGCTACATAACATTTGCGTCGACAAAGATGATGACTTCTTGGAGGATATCAATTCTGAGGAAGTCATTGTCTTGGTCGACGAACATGAGATTCCTGAAAATCAGGCTGTACTAAAAAGAAACCAAATTGCTGAACAATTATACTACAATTAAAAGATTATTATAAAAATTGTTTAACTGGATGTAATATAAAAAATAAAATTAATAAACGTTTTTACTAATTAAAACGTTTTAATTTTGACAGAGTACACATATCTTAGATACACAACAATGCAATTACTTTTCTATCGACTTTCTTTATTATTATCATTTTCCATTATCTCTTTTAATAAATCTAAGTTTTCCTTGTGTCGTCTTTCTTTGTGTGCTTCTTTTTCTTCATGTATTTCTGCCAGAAATGAAATTAGTTCTCCTTTTTGAGATTTCTGTTTTTGGGATGTCTTCAATGCTAGTACTGGGAGCATTTTTATTTTTTGATGATGACGGCACAGTTTATAGCTTAAAAGAATCAGTTCGCTCACTCGGACTAATTGGATGTTCCAAAATAACATCCACTCCAGGGATACAAATTCAGGATGCGCAGAAGACTGCTGTTTGAATATAGGCGGTTGTCATATATTGTATTAGGTATTCCAAATAAATGAACTGCCAGTGGGAAGATTTGATATATCCAAGGGTTGCGACATACGATATATTCTGTTTACAATACGTAAAATCATAAATAATGGATTACATTTAAATATTTTATGTCAAACACAATAAAAATAAGATACATTTTTTCATAAATTGGCAGGCTTTGTGACTATTATTTCGAATAAAAAAACACGTTCAAGATGCAAGACCCCCTTAGATATACCAGACCTTCTCACTGACAGCTATTGTTTGACAGGTCGTTGGAATGCTTAATTGGTAATAGTAAGAGAGCCTACTACAAATTACGACTGCCATCTGATAACAAAATGAAATATGCTCCAAAGACATGTAACAACATTGTACTTTTCCAAATTGCACCTGTGCCAATCTGTAATCCAGAGCAAAGTGGTTAAAAACAAATTATTTTATATTCAAAAAATTACATAAGACATGACAGCGATAATGGTGTTTTCTCTGAAAATTACAATCCTAATTCATTGTGAACCTAGCTTTTAAACCTGAATTATTAATATTTTTACCTAACTTTGGCAGAGATATTCAATAATAATTATAAACTCTTGTTAGACAATTCTTTTAAATCATAATCATGGTAGTTTTTTTTGTCGTTTCTATGACAACCTGTAAAAATTAATCACAACAATAGGCATACAAATAAATTATTAAATCAGCAAAAATTGATTCATATTTTTAATAATTTTTACCTACTAATCGTGTGTAGATGTTTTTGTGCGATGTTAAGAGGAAGAAAATGTTTGCCGTTAACGATATATATCAAGATATATTTGAATATGTTATTATCTGAAAAACTTTAAGGGCAAACAAAATTAACGCTGTCATGCCTTATGTGATTTTTTTAATTTAAAATATTTTTTTTAAACAGTTTGCTTAGGATTGGGATTGTCACAGGTGCCATTCGGTAAAGTACAATGTTTTTACAAGCTTTTGGGGTATATTTTATTTCATTATCAGATGGTGGTAAAAATTTACAGTGGGCTCTTGGGCTATTATGATTTGATTATGTATGCGCCAGGGATACAAATCCGAGTTGCGCAATGTATAAACTGGAACATTGAGATCAAAAGTGCCGACGCAGAGTGAGCGAACTGATTCTGTGAAGCTATAAACTGTGATGACGGTTTAATTTTTGTTACTTGCACTTATTTGTATTTCAGGCTCAATGCTGTCATCAATAACCTTGATTTTGGCTAATTCATTCTCAAACTGAATTCAGTCCTGGTCTCTCCAGAAGTTTCATTATTTTTCTTATCTTGGTTTTTCTCTTAAGAATTGTTTTTAGGCGAGTTTCGCGTTGACCAGGTGTGCGTTCGAGTTTTACCTGACTTTTTATATCTTGGCTGATATAATGCCACAGTGCTTTTTTATTGGGATATTTTTTAAGTGGGCCTACATCAGGTAATCCAGAATGGTATAAATCTAAAAGTAACCTGGTATCTGCATCTCCCCATTCAAATTTACTTTTCTCGTCACCAGTGTTAGTAGAGTAAGATACTTCAACATTATTTTGATTTTCTGAAAGGGAGTATTCGTTTTCACTCTCAGCCAATATGTCCTCATTAATAAATACCATGCTTTCAATACCTGCAAAAAAAAATAGGTAAACTAGTGGCCAATATATTCTGAACAAATTATGGTAAAAACTTTTATCATATTAAGAAGTTTTATATATAAATTCATATTGATAAACAGTATTTTACTGAGGCCCTTCCCATGGGGCCTCAATATTGCATTCGTGCAGACAAAAAATTTTCTTATTCCCATTTTTTTACTTTTTTCACATTTCCGATCATTTGGTTCGTTTTATTGCTCAATCTTTTACCACCGGTGTGGAAAGTATGAACAGGATGAGCGTTCTATTGTGTTGATTGATTCATTCCGCTCAAACTTTTCATTCGGTAGATTTTTGTAGCTAATGCATATGAAGCTGTTAATTGATGAACCAAATAAGAAGAGTCATGAAAAAGCAGCAAATCCAACAACAGTAGTAGATCAACTAATAAGCGCTAAAGTAATTAATAAATGGAATTACAATGAAACACTGCTACTAATTAATACATGTAAAAAATTCAGTGATGATTTAAAGGATAAAAAAAATATGCAAAAAATCACTTACCAAAAAATAGCAATATCTATGAACAACTGTGG